AGAGTTGTCAAACTCTTGCCAAATTATAGGTCTTTTGTTTTAAATTATGTCAAATAGAAATGATAAATATTTTGCATTTTGCATTTTGGATTGTGTTGTTACTTGTATTTCGTGTTTTTTAAAATTAAGTGTTTACCCAGACCATAGTTTACAGTTAATATTCAGTGCACAGAGACCGCCAGAGACACAGTTTGCCAGAGACTATGGTCAGAGAGTTGTATTAGCCACAAATAAGGTTGTATACCATCTCGTACATGGTACTAAAAACTGGAGTATCTGTAAAATAACATCACATGGTAGGTAAATAATATATTTTAGTACTGCAGAAAAAATTAAGATTAAAGTTAATTAACCAAGATTAGATTTTTTCAGTTTCATACAGTTTTTTTTTTCAATATTTTGAAGTAATCACTTGTCACTCAAAATTTAAATATCAATTATGCGTTCCAATTATACCAACTTATTTCTTTGTAAAATAAAAAAAATAAACTACTTTGAAATTAAAATCACAGACACATCTATCACTGTCAAGGATTTTGTGATTTTCATTGGATAACTAATACATTGAACCAGCACATTGTACTAAATAATAAAATAACATATTTAAACTTCAATAATTGCTAATAAACATTACAGAAATTTCAAAAGAGAAAAGAAGCAAGAACAATGAGAAATAGCATCACTACTTTCTAACGTAATAAAAGAATATTTTAGTTATTGTTACCGAGTCCCAGAAAGGTACCAGAAAAGAACCAGGGGTAATAATTTCCGGTTCTGAACTAGTTACCATAATATCAAGAAATTATGTTTTTATAACCAGAACAAAAAATTCCAGATTTTCTTCAAAAAAAAAAATTGCGCAGAAAAATCCTCATATATTTCTAGGGTCAAAATATACTACTCCTAAAAAAAGTTGCACTTATTTAAAACTCACCCTGTATAGGGCGATTGCTGGTTATGCTACGCTATAGCGTTTCCGGAACCGGAGCTGCTTTTTGAAACCGGTAATTTCGGTACCATGCCTCTAAGGAACCGGGATTTCCAGTTTTTTTTTCGGTACTTTCGGTACTAACAAATTTTTGTTCAATGATGGTACAGTTCGTTAAACAGCAAGCAAGGCAAAAAATTGAGGTTTAAATGAAAATAATATGAAATTATTAAGTAGTAATCAGTCATGAGAAACTTAACCTGAACACAAACATGATCAGAAATGACCCTCAAAAAAAACTCAAAGCACAATTTTTGGAATTATTACTACAACCAAAAGCAGCACACAGTAAGGTATTCATTTTTTGTCAATCCGTAGCTGTGCTGGGACGCAACGCTCGAACCTCGCAGGTCGACGGACGGAACTTAACTGAAATCTGCTTTGCAATCTGCCGATATTCGACAGATTGTAAAAACTAGCAGAAAATATTTGGGAGAGTGCTACTACTCTTTTCCTTCTACTATGGGTGTACTGCCGTCTAGAATTTCGTTTACTTGCAATAGCCATCTAAAAGTTATTTGCAAAAATCTACCTTCAAATTACTAAAAATTTATAATACATGTCCAATGTCCATATCTCTTATCAAAGTCAGAATCTTCAAAAATTATAAAATCTTTCAAAATCTAAACCGCTCTCATTGAAAAAAATTCAAAAAGTGTTTAAAGAGTCCATTTTCAAAGTAATTATTGCTATCTTGTGAGTTTAATTTAAGTATTACTTACTCAAACCCGTGATAATTGTGAAAAAGTGGCATTAAAAACTTAAAAAGATGTGCTGTGAACTACAAGAACCATCGTGGATCGCGAAATAACGTCGGTTTCCAATGTTTCTAGGTATTTCCTATTTGATCTTGTATAAAATAAAGTTTCTTGTATGCAACACACTGTATTTTATTTATAAAATTAAAAGAAAATAATAATATATTTGAATAATATTTGGCGATATAATTCCGGAAAAAGCCGAACCGCTCCGAAATTTTCAAAAGCTTTGGGTCGCGACCGTTGCAAGAATAGCGCCAAATAGTGTTTCCATTGCCCTTATGGGCACTTTCCAATCTAAACTTTATCTATGGTAGTTAATTTTGGTGTTTTTTTTTCTGAATTGGAATGATCATCTACAAAAGAATTAGTTTGAGATGGACCGCCTATTTAAAAATAGACATATTTCTTTAAATCTAAAATATTCAGTTTTAAGACACTCTGTACTTAGCTCAGGGCCGATACATCGTTTTACATGGGTGACCTTCAACAAATTAGAGACAAGCTGCAATTTTGCATGGAGCTTCATTTTGTAGATCTTTAAACATCCTGAAACCCCAGCGATAGACCGTTGAGCCCGTCAACCCAAAACCACCCCTACAAGGGGAAAAATGGCCCTTTTTTACTTTTTCTTCAATAACTCTAAAACTACGAATTTTAAGAAAAAAAGTCAAGAGTAAAAAATCGAAGAGAAGAAAATTTCCTACCACATAGGTAAAGAACCAAAATTTTTAGAATTTCAGTGGTGCAGGTGCGAATTCGTTAATTTAGGAAGACTGGTTTTAATAACCCCACCATTCTGTGTTTAACTTCAAATGAAAGCATTTTTGAGATAAATCTCGAGACCAAAAAATTATTAGGATACAAGTTCCTATAAAAACGATCCTTTTAATAAAGATAAGTTACCAGTGGCGGAGATAATTTTTTTAAATGTGCGTTTTTTACATTTTAAAAACATTGAATAAGAAAAATTGCAGTTTTACAAATAATTTCAAATGAAATAGGTATATTGAAGAATTTACACGTTTAATAACAAAATAAGAAAAACCTTAGCTCAAAAATAGGATAACTTATCTTAAGGATAGTCCTCATTCACTTCCACACTTGTTGGGTTCATACATGTAATGCCATTGCATTGACCACATGCCATAGTGCAGGTGTCCCATTCGCTTGCATGTACATGCTTTTTCTAAAACCCATGGGCCGCATGCTGTTCCAGGGAGCATAGTAAAAAATATATCAAAGAGCCAGACGTCTTAAAATACTATTATGAATATTGTTAGTTTCCGGGAATTAATATGCAGAAAAAAAATCGTGGGTGTTTGGGAAGGCTTGAAAGGAAACAATGTTTTTGCAATGTTACTCTAGTACGACACAAACTCTAGTTCGACTAGTACTCTAGTACGACACAAACCGAGCATCGGTTTATATCGGGCCAAAGAGTACCCGTTAAGTTTCTGTTCAATTCGTCTGTATGTGTCTTAGTGTTGGCGGTTGGAATCGCCATCAATGTTTGTAGGCATAATGTGGATTAATATATGTTTTGGTGCCTGAAGAAGCGACAATAAAGTCGCAAAACGTCACAAAAACATTGTTTCCTTTCAAGCCTTCCCGAACACCCACGATTTTTTTTCTGCGTCTTAAAATACTTTCTCGACAACGTTGCTAGCTCTTAGACCAGATCTTAGACTATTTGATACCTTCAATTTTTTGTAAACAAAATGTGACATCGAATTTGACAATGACACAATCACATTTTTGCTGGTATTTTAATTGTAGCTTTCTCTGAGTAGTATTATAAATTTTACTAAATTGAAGGTAGATTTTTGTAAATAACTTTTAAATTACTATTTCAAACGAAACGAAATTCTACACAAAAGTACAACTTTAACGCCTCTTAAAAAAGTCTAATACAACTTTTGCATAAAATGATCTTGGGAGATAATATTTGATGCTTTCAAAATTTACATGTGATTTCCTGTGTCCCGTGTTCCGATGCACTACACGGTATGGTGTCTCTCCAAAGAATTAGTGTATTTGTCAAAATCTTCGGATTTTGACAAATAGCATTCAAAAAATGACAAAAAGAAAAATTTATCAGTGAATTAAAGTGACAAACACACCTGCCTATTCTCTAGCCGAACAGTCTCTACCGGGTGGGTTTCAAAAGTGGCTCACACCTATACATTTTTTATTTCTTTATATGACATAAATCAGGATTGATTGACGTATTCAGTTAGTTCTGGTCACCTCCTATTTCACCGGAAATTATTACATTTTTTGATTTTTAAATGTTATCCTAGGTATTTTTTTACTTTATTTAATAGAAAATGACATTCTGAATAGAATGGCATATCATATGTCAACTTTTGACATCTTCGCTTAAAAAAATTGTATTTTATTTTTCAATCTAGAGTGACATGGCTATCTTAAAATCATTAAATTTTAAGCAAGAAGCCTTAGAAAAATATATATATTATTTGATCGTCTATTGTTTTTTCATGACTTTTCCTAGCTAGTTAAAAGATGCTCATGTCGTATCTTTTGACATCAACAGAAAATGAGATTGTGAATAGAATGACATATCATTTGTCAACTTTTGTCATCTTCGCTTAAAAATATGATTTTTTTTAATCTAGAGTGACACGGGTATCTTAAAAAAACTAATTTTTAATTAAGAAGCCTTGGAAAAATATATCTGATCGTCTGATATTTATCGTGACTTTTCCTATCCATTTAAAAGACGCCCCAGTCGTATTTTTGATCAAAACTCATTTTTTCAAATATTTAGATGGAACGAGGATGGGTCATTAGCATATTTGGAAACAGTATTTTTTTAAGAATAGTTTGGTACCACATACTTGCCATTTCGAGTCAAATTTTCGTTATGAACACAGCTATGACACTCTAGATTGAAATTTAAATTATATATTTTTTTAAGCGAAAATGTCAAAAGTTGATGTCAACTACTTACATCTCATATGGATGGGATATAATTCGATTCAGAAAGTCGTTTTCTATCAAATAAAGCAAAAAAAAATGATGAGGGTACCATTTAAAAATCAAAAGTTGTAGTCATTTCCGGTGATACAGGAACTGACCGAAAATGATTTAATACGCCAATCAATCTTGATTTATATCATATACTTACTGATCTGAGTGTTGATACATAACAACTATCGCTATTTTGAAAAAAAAAAGATATAAGGGTGAGCCAATTTTGTGAAATACCCGGTATTATGAAGACGTCTTACCTATCAAAACTTTTGTCTAAACTTTTCTCGAAAGCGGTTGAACTAAACGTAGTCCCAGTAGTGGAGCCTAACTTTTCTTCCGACGTTGATCGGGAATCGGCAATTCTCTGTTCGTGCCTCATCATTCCCAGACGAAAACTGAGATAGTCAATTAGTACGTCCAAACCGTTGTTTTCTTCGTTTAAAAATTCTCGTACCCATCTAGATAGAAAAAATTAATATAATAAGAAACCGGATAACTCAACAAACAGCAAAGGAGCGTCCATTAATTACGTGAAGAGTTTTTGAAGCTATCCCCCCCCTCACCCTTTGTGAGATGTCGTAATATTTATCTCGACCCCATCCCCCCATCCCTAATCACACAAGAGATGCTTCGAAATTTGTATTTTGAGCATCGATGCTTTGGATTTATTTAAAAATATTCAATATGCTTTATTATTGTTATCAGGGTGCAATTAACGTTTTTTTTTTTATTTTAATCATGGATTTAAATCAAAAACATCAACTTGTTTATAAACTTATGATAAATCGAAAAATAACTGTAAAAGTTACAGAAACTTTTTCTATAAAGCTATAAAAAAGTATTCTTATAATAAATATACCCTATACAGAGTGATTCCTGTAAGTCGGTCATGCTTTCGGGGAATGATAGGGGACGTCGAAATATTAATGTTGATATAGCACACTATGGGTCGGAAATGCCTCTTACGCAAGATACAGGGTGTTTAAGTTTTAGAAAAATTAAAGATATTCTTTAATCGTTTTTTAACAGTTGAAGGTATCGTTATAAATTTTCATTATAGGATTCTATCTAATAGAGACACTTTAAATGTAAAAAGAAGAGGTTTTAGTTTCAACCAGTGGCGTAGATGTGATACGCATCGGGTAATTTTTCCAAAAAAAAATAGTACGCCACTGATAAAAATAAAAGTTTCGGAGTTTTTTTATTTACTCGGTTTATTTCCAAGAAAAAATGTCTCTTGCAACTTTCTCCTATCTAACACCATTTTGTCACAATTTAAAAATAAATAAAATTTTAATGAGAATCTTAAATACAGCGAATTATTATAACTAGAGGGCAGAAACGTGCATCGTTAGCTCAAAAAGTGCATCGTTAGCTCCCTTCATCTTGGGTAACTTTGGTACTTTTTACTATTAGCTCTAAATAAATTTTTAAAAAATTATAAATTTAAACTAGAATTTTTTTTTATTGCTAATAATAAAATTCTTAGTTTTAAGGTAGTTATAATAATTCGCATATTTAAGGTTCTCATTAAAAAAAAATATTTATTTATAAATTTTGACAAAATGGTGTTAGATAGGAGAAAGTTGCAAGAGACATTTTTCTTGGAAATAAACCGAGTAAATAAAACTCAGTGACGTACTATTTTTTTTTTGAAAATATTACCCGATGCGTATCACAGCTACGCCACTGGTTGAAACTAAAACCTCTACTCTTTACATTTAAAGTGTCTCTGTTAGGTAGACTCCTATACTAAAATTTTATAACGATACCTTCAACTGTTAAAAAACTATTAAAGAATATCTTTAATTTTTCAAAAACTTTAACACCCTCACTGTTCGGTTTTTATATGATTCAAAATAAAAAATATATAAATTGTAAAATTAGTAATTTTTTAATGGCCATATAATGCGTTCTTTCAAAATCATCGAACAACTAAATAATTTCCATAGATCCAGTGACGTACCGTGACTTTGAATTTTGAGACCAAAAACTGAAACAATAATTTGTCAAAAAAATCATATTACAGCTATATGTTTTATTTTGTATGAAAATGTTAACTAATAAGTTAGAATAATTATATTTCTTCCCTAACTAAGTGGTTTTATCGCTAAATTTATCTAAAGCTAAGTACAACACAAATCTTAAATACGTGGACTATTATAACAACAAATACATTGTAAAAGACTATTTTGGTAGCATTCTGAACTAGAATTCAAGTTAAACATTTTATAAAATAATTTAAAGGAAAAATGTTAATTCAGTTAATATTAATTTTTGTATACTGCTCAGATTTATCTGGTCTTCTATCATATATTTTGGAAATTAGAGAATTACCTGAAGATTTTCATCTAAAAATTGGCATTGATAGTGGTGGTGGATCACTTAAAGTTTGTCTGAATGTGCTCCCTGAAAATGATCCTGAATATTTCAAGAAATATAAAAGTGCTGGAATTAATAAACTATTCATAATTGGCTTAGGACCAAAGTTGTCTGAATCTTATGCTAACATTAAAAGCCATTAAAAGCCTCTTTGAGACGTTAGATCTAGATATTATGATTCTCCTTGGTCTCCAGTCAAATTCATCCACTCACACTTGCCCATGGTGTGATGTAAATGTAAAGGAAATGGAAATTAAAGGATCATTCAGAACTATATAATATAAAATATAAATATAAAAGTATTACAGAAAATACAAATTTATGGCAACAATCTGGAGGAAATATAACAAAAGCCAAAGATTTTAGTAAGCGTTTTTGTTTGAAATATTTTTTTTTGTATTTTTTAAACTGTTGTTCAATGAACCATATAAAAAAGGGCAATTGTTTTTTAGAAAACTGTATAAACATACCTTTAATCATTGGCGACGAAGAAACACCTGTCTTAAAGTATATTCCCCCTCCTGAGCTTCACCTTTTGTTAGGTGTGGTTCAAAAACTATTTGATTGTCTTGAATTGGAGAATACCAATGTTGCAACAGAATGGATAAAAAACGGGATTGAAACTAGATCATTATGGAAAATGTAACGGAAATAACGCCAGATAACTTTTAAAGAAAGTGGATATTTTGAAGACGATATCGCCCGGTAAAGAATCCTATTCAAAGATTTTAGAAGCAAAAACCTAAACATCTTTTTTTTAGGAATAAATATATTGCAGTGTTTTCTGCATTCAGTCAAGTAGTTTTGAGTTGTTGTGGTCAAGCACTAAACAAACATTTTGAACATGACATCGAACAATTTAGATTGGAAATACTCAACTTAGGTATTAAGATAACTCCAAAGATTCATGCAATTCTGCATCATGTGCCAGAGTTTATAAAAGCAAATCATAGAGCTCTAGGATTTTACTCGGAACAAGCATCTGCAAGCAGGTTCCATTTTTCCTTTAAATTATTTTCTAAAAAGTTTAACTTGAATCCTCGTTCAGAATGCTACAAAAATAGTCTTTTACGATGTATTTGTTGTTATAATAGTCACGTATTTAAGATTTGTGTTGTACTTAGCTTTAGATAAATTTAGCGATAAAACCACTTAGTTAGGGAAGAAATATAATTATTCTAACTTATTAGTTAACATTTTCATACAAAATAAAACATATAGCTGTAATATGATTTTTTTGACAAATTATTGTTTCAGTTTTTGGTCTCAAAATTCAAAGTCACGGTACGTCACTGGATCTATGGAAATTATTTAGTTGTTCGATGATTTAGAAAGAACGCATTATAGCCATTAAAAAATTACTAATTTTACAATTTATATATTTTTTATTTTGAATCATATAAAAACCGAACAGTGCCCTGTATCTTGCGTAAGAGGCATTTCCGACCCATAGTGTGCTATATCAAAATTAATATTTCGACGTCGCCCATCATTCCCCGAAAGCATAACCGACTTACAGGAATCACCCTGTATTTATTCATCAAATACAAAGTTACACTTGCTGTTGTAACGTTTAAATCTCGGTTTAAATACTAATCGAAAAATAATTTAAAAGATATAACAGATAACACATAAACCTACTTAATATCTATTCGTCTACTAAAATGTTGGACCGATTTTTAAAGTTATTTCCTGTGAATTCATTTTTCTAAATGGCAGAGATTTATTTTGAAATTGTGAAGTGTCAGAAATCCGGTATTCGAATCCATTTCATTCGCAAACTCTAGTGCAGAACTAGTTTCTTCTGATGTCAGGTTATATTTTTATTTCCGAAAACTATAATCAATGTCAAAACATATGCTGGTGTCAAGGCTCTTTTATATTTTTTTTTGAAACAGCTGAATGTTGATCAAGCTAACTACTGCCTTTCCCTAATTTATCTTCTAGTTCATTCCCCAAATTTTTACCGACATTTTGTTCTGCAATAAGTACTTTGCACTTTGAACATTAGATGGTACCAATTTTATTCTCGACTTAAGACAGTCATGACTATTTCCATAAAAAAAATCCTTTGATTTAAGCTGACGATTTTTTGCGGAAACAGGAGCATCGACAAACTTTACAGAATAAAATATATCGATGACCGATGTGGAAACAAGACACGCGCAGTAGAAATGTTAATATTATCGATATCGGGCAGAGTTAAGAAGATTTAGCCATTTAGGATAGGACTTAAGATAGAAAATTCATTAAAATAAAAAAATCCGATTTAAATAAAAAAACTGATTAAAATAAAAAAAATCGTTTTTTTTTATTTTTTTTTTAAATAGAATGGCCTGAATTTAAAAAAAAAAAATAGAATGCACCCTGATAAACTACGGTAAAGAGCGGTTCCTGAAAAATATCGGTTTGATACGGAACGGTTTGGTAAAATACTGGAAACGTCAAATGTTGACGTTTTCTAAATTTCAATACCTCTATTATAAAATTTATATTTTATGCATTTTTAATGTACCTGTTCTCTGCTTTTACGTTTGCTTCTTCTTTTCAGTGGAGTTTAATACTGAAAAGTACTTTATTAATAAACTGTTAAACTCGTTAGACAGCTCAAGTGAAGATTTTCAGGTCCAATATTAAAACAGATCAATAATAAATAAACAAATCTAATCAATATTTATATTTTTATAGCTTACAAAACATTCACGATTACTTGTTGTCTTGTTTTTCATGTTTTCTTTAAATGTTCCTGACTTTAAGAAACAATGGCTGCATGATAAGTTTAAATGGTCCTAAAAAGTAATTCTATTTAGTTAATGAAATTTATTTACCTTTACTGCCTACCTCCATTGCTTTTGGATATAAATACAAAATATTATTACAAATTTTAGAAATTAAATGAGAATTTCACTCAAACTTCCAATATTTGCTTGATTTCTGTCACATAAATGATAAATGAAAACCAGCCTTCTCGCGGTCGTTAGTTTGGTGACAGTTATAACCGAATTTTTCAGGAACCGTGTTCCGTAATAAGAAAACTTTCAGGAAACCGATAGAAACGGAACATAAAACCATAACC